CACGCACGAAAAAGTCTTCTGACAATAGCTAATTATTTCAACCACGCAAATAGGCGTTTCTTAATACTGTTGTAAAATTAATACATTTTGTAGTATGGCAAGGAATTAAGAAACGCATCAACTTTGTATGCAATCTCTTCCTTAGGCACTGTAGCTGCTGCAACAATGATTTGAAATCACCTTCCAAAGGATGAACTATCCTCTTGAGAGGTCTTCCATCATTAAGTTATTGAACGTGTGTGCATTCCCACACAAGGTTCACATGGAAGGAAGAAAAAGTGTATTCATCAGAGATGATGTCTCTGTTTCACATTTCCCTGATCTTGAATTTCTGGTTTTGATCTTGTGAGTCTGTATCTCTTTCCTTTCCTCTACTAAATTAATTTGCTGTGTTTACAACTCGCCAAGTATGAATATGATCACTCAGAACCGGACTCCAATCTTGCTATTACAATTGAGCTAGTAAACCAGCAGCATCGTGGTGCTGAGATCATTGTCCTTGGCGACTTTAAGGTGCACAACAATGATTGGCTGAAAGAAAGCCACATACTACAAAGCCGTCCCTGGAGCTAATTTTCAATTGAGAACCTTGAACAAATATGACATCCTTTATCTGTGCATCCTAAAATTCACAAATTCTAAAATTCACGGTGCCCCCAAAGTGTTTTGAAAACTCCTACTAAATTCCAAAGGCACAACACTCACTAACGTTTGCATTACACAGAGGGGGTTTGAGATTTAAAAAATAATAAAGTGATCTACCAAGCCTTATCTCTAAACTAATGGATTTCATGAATCGTAAGCATGTAGCACAAGAAAAACAATGAAGGCAGTCAACTTTCGACAGACTCAGAACAAGTCTTAATACCGCATGCACATATGGCAGCATGGTCGAAAATAAAACTGAAATCGCCAGGTTTGTTGTATACGAAACCAACCACTGCTGCCCCCATAGTATACACGTACCGTACATACGTGTATATTAACAAACACGCACGCACAACCACCAGGAGCCACTAAGTGGTGGTGACGTCCCCACGGCGATCGTGCGAGGCAAGGTGTACCCTGGGGCCACGTGACGTGAGGAAGACGCACTGGCAGGTCTTATGGTTGACTGTGATCGCTGACAGATGCACCACGTGTGCTCCCCACGATGCCGACTGGTGAGGTGTTAGCCGCTTCGCTGTTGTTGGAGGCAGTAACGTGCGGTATTGTCAATGGCAGGGGAGGCACTGGCTAGTGTCGGAGCCAGATTCACACACTGAGGGGGGCGTGGCCTCACGGAGGGCGGCGTGTCAGACACATCCCCCTCAGTGAGGCAGATGTGATAGCTGCCTCCCCTGGTGCTTTTTCATTGCAATTTCATGACGAGACCAGCGAGCCTAAAAATCTTTATACACATACGTGAAATAGGTTACCTGGAGTATGGATGGCAAGGACATGAAATGAAGGGGTCTACAAACATTACATTGGTGACATACTGAGATAGTAACAAGCACACGCTTATTGCCCGCGCTCCATCCAGTTACTGAGGGGTTGCGCAATCAGAGGGGAGGCTGAGCTCGTCGCTGCCTCACCTCTCGTCTCTTCCTGTTTTTGCAGCGAAGCTCCGCAAATTTGGCGATTTTGACTATAAAAATTATTGGAATCGCACACAGATGAGTGGAAAAATCTTAATATTTATTTCATTTGATTTTTTTTACTTTTCGTAAGTTATTTTCATTGGAGTATGACAGGTGAGGCTCTGCCTCCCCTGCCTCCCCTGACCGCATGTCCCTGGTTGGAGGGCGACTGCCTCCAACTGCCCTGTAGCAGTGTCCTTCACGAGCCTCCTCCATCGAGGCCGATCTTGATACCACTGGTACCAGTCATTGGGAAGTCCAATCAGCTCCACATCCTCTTGTAGCACATCATTCTATTTCTCCTCTAGCCCGTGCCGCGCCTATTTAGCCCCCTCTATCCGTCCAAACAAAAGCTGTTTAGGCATGCGGTGGCTGGGCGATATGACCCAGTCTGCCGGAGGAGCTCAACAATGAGACTGTGTCCATATCTTTCAAGAATTTGTGAGCTCCTCACACAATTCAGCCTGGTTAAACCCAGGATGGATCGTAGGCAGGCCAGCCTAAATGTTTCTAACCGGTAACGGTTTGCAGGTGTAGAGGAGGGAATGACCGTGGCTGAGAAGACCTGGAGCTTCGTGTGGAGCAACAGAACAGGTAGCTTCCACACAGCACTACGCAGCCAATGAAAAAATAATGCCGCTTGACTGATTCGGAGTGAGATCCTCTGCTGTCAAACCGGAGCCTCGAACATTCCACGTGGCCACCCGTAGTGGCTTTTTGCTGTTTCAGGAGGAACCCCGAAGGTAAGCGTTCAATCTCCTGGCTCCACCAAATGTGGTTTGGCCACGAGACGTCATAGACGCCTGTCCCCTCGGGGCCTCTGGCACAAGCTTAGCTGGCTATTTTTTTCGTGGTTTAGTGGTAATTAATTGAAGGAAGAGGGGTTTACCAGCCCCTCGCACCCGTCCAGAGCCCCCTTATGGCCGCTGTGGTGGCTATAAACGTCATGCGAGGAATGGCCAATCAAAATTGGCCCTCCCCCCATGGCACTGCTTACCACAGTGTTACCGTCAGGCACCAACGAGGAGGTAGTGGGTTGTTTTTCCGGACACTTTCACACACACGCATGAATATTCACTCCCAGCGCAAGGCTGACTCATTACATTTCACGGAGGATCATTCCGTTACCAAAACAGTTCCTCCTTCAAGTTTGCAAGTGCGAGTTCGCGTTTTAAGTCGATGTAAAATATATATTTCATGGAAGCTGGTTCGTAAGTGCGACTGTTCATAAGTCGGGTGTACGTATGTCAGGGACTGTCTGTACCTGAATTTTTGAAGAAAAAAGCTTCGTGGAATTTCCACCTATCAACAGAAATCCATAAAGCATGAAAACAAATTCATCCTTTGTTTATACACTTTAAATTAAAATTAAGGACCCTTATCCTTAATTTGGCTGTTTCAATCTCTTCCACTTAACTTGCCCTGCTGATATATCACCAACTACCTTTTAAAAGGATAAAATGCAAAATTATACAATGCTAAATATTTGTACATTATTATAATCTATAAATCTGAATTTCGATATAGTTTTAAATAAATAAATACAAAACATTGCACTGTATTCAACATGCAAAGTAATTGTGTACTGTATATGGAAGCAGTACGATGCTGTGCAGACACATAATGAATGTTAATGAGCTATTGGATGGTGTCCAACTTCCATTTATTGGCCACTTGCATGACATTACTCTCCCCCCCATCACCCTTGGTTTTTATATGGGCAGAAATAAAGGCCACAATCACGAATATCAAATGAGTATGTGCACTCATCGATTACGCTCATGAGCACTATGGATCATTTTGAAGCACAGGACACTGTTGCCAATACCTAAATTATTGAAGTGTAAATGCTAGCAAGATTAAGTTTGGGGAAGTTTGAGTAGATGCTTCCAGCTTTCATTACAGCCTGTCAATTGACCGTTCATTCCCAAACATGGCAGTTTAATTTCTTTCCCTACGTAATTTAGGCAAGCAATGCCAAAAGTAATATGAACTAACGCCTTCAGGTGTCCTATATTATTTAACAGCAGCTTTAATCGATAATAAAATGTGCATCTTCTATCAGCTCCATCTGGCTGGGATGATGGATGTGCATGCCTCCAGGTTTACTGAGAGAACATTAGCAGTTCACACAAATGTGCCATTTTTGTAAATTTACACAAGCACAGCTCCTCATCAATCTTCATCCTTTTCAGCACTACTTAAAATATATATTTACGTTTAAATCGTTATATTCATTTAAATGTGTATTTTTAATGCTAAATTTAACATCTGGAATGAAGTTGAAATGTAATATCGTAAATACAAGTACTCAAGCATTATTGGACAAAAAAAAAACCCCACCAAAATTATTTTGCTTGTAAAGTGATACATTACAGAATGATTATAGAATAAGAGCACGAATGCGAGACCTGGACAACCCAATGGTTTCCTTACATTGCTTGCCTGGGTTGCTGTATTAAAAGTTGTGTAAATTCAATATCCCATTGTCAATCCATTGACACCCTTTAATATGTTACAAATACAATTAGTGCTGTGGCTTAGTTCATAACATAGTTGTTATACTTTGAAAATATTTTAACACCATAAACATACTTTATTATACAAAGACTTCCAAATGTGGCTTGTCTGGTTATATATTGGGATATGCAATACATCCTCAGATGAACGTTCATCAGGTGAAAAGCGTTGGAAGCTGTGGTTCATAATCTGCACCGCAATCCTGGCAGCCTGGGTTATTTGGGTCAGGCAAAGTAAAAATGCCAACTTGTTCTTGAACATGTCTGAAGCATCCTTTCGGTCAACGCGGGTTTAAATCGTTGGCTTGTGTGGCTTTAAAATATCCAAACTGAGACAAGTAGCATACTAAGGCACCACATCCCTTTATAAGCTTAAATCGGTGATCGCTAGTCAAAGCCTAAATGTCTGTGCAATTATTCATACAGCACATGAACATCGACATACGTGGACCTGTTTGTACGCAACTTAATTTAATGTGCTTGGGGTGATTTATCGATTTTTACAAAATTGTTGAAACATTCAAACTGCAATCAAAGTTTTTATTTATCCATGAGGTTTTTTGGGATAGATCACGTAAATGTGTCGTTAAATCTGCCACCACCGGACACAGCCAATTAGTAAAGTTCGTCACGTAAACAAAGCATGCCAATTTACGTGAAAAACATTACTAATTGGCTGTGTCGGATGGTGGCGGTTTTAGCGACACATTTACGCGCTCCAACCCAAAATCTATTATGGATACTGGTCACGAAAACCTGTTAAACTGAGTTTTAATTGAATTGTTCAGATGCAGTCATCATAAGGCACCAACAGCAGATATCGTTCACCATGTGGTAAGTTGCAATACACACACAATGCTGGACTTGTATATTTTTTATTGTCAAGACATTTAAATATGCGACAGCGTTTCTTTGCATAAACCAAATATTTGGGCACATGATCGATATATTAAATACAATGTACTAATTTAGACATCAATATAACACAATAATCTTAATAATCTTCTTAATAAGTAATTATTGTAAAAACTGTACAAATGTATCAAGATTTGTCTTGGAGATCGCAAGGCAGGAGTTCCAAAGTTTCAATACAGGCAAATGCACGACTACCCCACGACGACTGGGTCAATGGGATCATCTCAGTCGAGACCTCGACAGCTCGTACCGACTGAAAAACTTGACAAATATATGGAGGCGCCAAATCTTTTAACGCTATGCAACGAATGAAATGCGTGACGCGACTTTATTTTGCATTCGGAAATCATTCCCGTGACCAAATTATGAGCTTAAACTCCCCCAATCAAGCTTCTGCCATCGGCTAAAAAAATAACATGAAACTTGCGACAGTGAACTTGTTTATTGTTTTCAGACGACCCCAGTGTCCCGCAAATGGAAAAGTGTTCAACAATTTTGCATAGTACACTAAGATCCATCAAGGCGTGAAAGTATTTACTTGGACACACAACAATAAAATGTCATAGGTCTAGATCCCATAGACCAGAGCTGTACATGGTGTCAAAAGCCGTGGTGACCCTGCCATAGCATTTTTTTTTAATGTAAAACTCATATCAATACCATATTTATCTCTAATTTAGAAGTGAAATATAATAAGAGTAAACAATGAAGCTCATACTGAAATATTTATATACCACTCATTGAAATATGAACACACCCTTCTGGTCCTCAATAAAAGTTACATTGGATTTAAAGTATATATGCAACTGTATTTCCAGTTTCTCATATTAAACATTATGTGCTTATGCCAGTTGGCGGTTGACTATTGCCCCTCCATGGTCAATAAAATACATCGTATTTTGTGGATAGACTAGCCATCTCCATAAGGATTTGGAATGTGGACCAACAATGTCTTGGGACCTTAAAAGCAGAAGAATGCAACACCCATTGTTCAGAGCAGTGGGACACTTTTCACCTCGATTCATCGGAAACAGGCTCAGGCGGATTGCTTTTATATTAGTTCTTGCTGCTGCTTTCTTTCCATTGTTTGTCTTGATTTACTATTTTTCAATGTTTCTTGATTAAATCTCAGACAACTTGTTCAACTGGCAATTTCATCCTTTCACTTTGCATCTCAGCACACTGTTTTGGTTGTGGTAGTTTGTATTCATATTCTCAATTACACTGTGTAATGCTTTTTTTATGTTTTCATTGACTATATTCCCCTTCTTCACGTGAGCCCAGTCACACACATTTGCACATTTCAGAATTGTACAATTTGTACATTCGGTTGAATTTGCACAAGTGCCCTTCGGAATGCACCTGGTAGCGTTTTTTACGATGTGCACTTTCTTTTTTTCTTTCTTGCTGGTTCTGCCTCATCTTTTGCCTCGAGTTCTGCAAAAACTACGTGTTTGGATCCATCAGATTTTTTACTGTATGGTTTCTTCAAATTAGCTGTTTTATTACGATCCTCAACCACTTTGCATTTATGCTTCCTCTTCTTTCCTGTGGTGATGAAAGTTACCAGTGATTTATCATCTGTTTTTCCTAACATTTCACATTCTTTTATGCGTTTGTCCTTTTCTTCCCTTGCGATGCATTTCTCTGTTCCAGCAACATACAGATCTTTGCCAGTCTTGCATTCATGTTCATTATCTTTCCCCAGCATTAAATTTAAACATTTAAATAGCTCTTCACTGCTTTTTTCCATCATGTTTTTGACTTTTGGCTTGAATGTTACTTTACCTTCCACTTTACAATTGGCAGCCTTTTGAGTTGGCAATGCAGCCACTCGTGTTTTGATTGATTGGGGTTTTTCTTGTGCCTGCTCATCAAGCTCCTTCTCCCAGTCAATCTGAATCAAGCGGAAGAGCTGCATGGCTGACCAAGCATCCTCCACAGAGGAATGTCCATTAGTTCCCATCTGTGCACATACAACGGTAGACAATCACAAATCAAAATGTAGTCACGTTAACAAAAAATGTAATACAATAATATTTTGAATTTTAACCAGGGGGAATGTTCACCACTCTACAGTGGGTCATGTAGCCCAGAAAATCATGTATACGAAGCCAAGCTGTTCCTAACTCAGGACACTGCCATCTCGTCCGATAAATAATCTAAGGAGGAAAGTTTGCACCATTATGTAAAATTGGCAATAGCAAAATGGCATACGAAGAGGCCTTCTCTTGTAAATAATATTGCATACGTAAAAACTAAAAAAAACTTATTTTTTTCAGTACACACAACATTATCAGAAGAATGAAGCTGAATGTTAGTTGTCAAAGCCCAACCCAGATATGACAACTGTTAGGCCAATAAGCTGCTCCAGATAAAAAAAAATATCTAAATCTCTCTGTGAATAAAATTGAACACGGTAATTGAAGATTTAACGATATCAGAAAAAATAAAGCACTTGCAGAAAATTATTTCACTACAATATGAAGCATTTATACACCTGTGGTAACGGCAAGACCTAGGACTTCAAAGTTGTTAAGGAACACCATTATTGAACAGGTAAGTTAAATACATCTTTGAAATCCACACGAAAAATGTCGGACTGCACATAGCTCAACTGGCAATCGATTGCAAAAAAGCAGAGACAACACAAATTACTTCTTGAGTTTGAATCCAGGCAATCACCTGTAATCAATTCAAAACACAGCGAGATGGTCTCAGGTTTGTGACAAACTACTGCACAAAAAACATTTGTATAAAATTTGCCTTTACTTCATTCAACATATGCCCACTATGAGAACCGTAATATAGTTTGAATATTGTGTGATGTTTGAGACACGAGGGGGGGGGGGTCATGTCTGTTGGTAAAAAACAAATCTGTCTGGATAACTGACAAAAACTCCCACACCATAATTAAGTTTAAAATATTTTTTTTTACACGAAATAATTAAGTGTGAAATAAAAATAATGAAAACACAACAGCAAAATAAAATAGGCAGGGCAGATCAACCTAAAGTTGAAACCTTCAGTAAAAATAAATGCCCAAACTGATATACTACCAAAAATCAAATATGTACAGTATATCAATGTCTAATATAATTCATGGTTGGATAGTGTGTGCTATTATGGTCCACAGTTTCTCAGTATCAAATTACAGTAAATCCTCCATCTGCAAGTATTACTATCTTGAAAACATTCGCGAATGCAGAATTTGGAAATTCAGAAACCTTGTCCCAATTGGGTTACATTCCTGGTAGGAGTGAACATAGGGGGGAAAAAGGTAAATGTAACCTATAAAAGGCATTTTTGTCTGTCCGCCTGTCTGTATGTGGCTGACGCTTGCGAGGGATTTTGCTCACGAACCGTGGGGATTATGTTTAAAAAAGTACCCAGAAGCACGCCATAAGCCCCGTGGTGAGCCAGCGCTATTCCAATTTCGCGTCCGTCACGTTTAAAATAGTTGAATACGCAATTGAATTGTTTTTTGTTATTTATTACATTGCGCCTCCGAGCGCGTGCCAAAGCACGCATCTGCACTGGTGCGCCCCTAGCGACGCACACACTTTCCGTGTTAAAAATAAAAAATAAACTCAGGTACATTCTACAAAGTGTGATGTCCTCTTCTCCCCCCCCGATATAGGGTCGGTAGATACTAATATTATAGAGCTTACGTACTGTAGAGCAGGCGGCAGGATAGTAAGGGGGGCGGGGGTAGCGGCCCAGCCCCAACCTGCCAAGGTGCCACCTCGGCCGGCTAGGCAATCTAGGCAAGGCCGGGGGCTCTGCACGGGACTAGGCCTCACCACTACACTGTGAAGTGAGGACTATTATAGAGTCGATATATACTATTATACAGTCGGCATATACGACTATAGAGTGGGTAGATACTACTATAGAGTAGGTAGATACTACTGTACAGTTTGTAGGTACTGCTACTGTAGAGCGGGCGGTGGGGGGGGGGCCGTACAGCAGCCCAGCCCCAGCCTGCCAAGGTGCCACCTCGGCTGGCTGGGCAATCTAAGCGAGGCCGGGGGCTCTGCACGGGACTAGGCCTCACCATGACACTGTCAAGTACTATATTCCTGCTTCTTTCGCTCACGTCACCTAGATATAAAACTAATATTTAAAAATTAAGTTAGGAAATATTTAGATGTGTGTAGAAAACTAATATTTAAAACTTGACTTAAAGCTTTCGTGACTGCAGGAATTCATACTCTTTGGGTTTTTCGGTAAAGTCACAGATAGAAAAATAAAAAAAAATCACGACGTTTCGATCGCAACACAAGCAATCGTCTTCAGGTGAAAAAATATAGCAAGAGAGCTGCTGAAGCAGGGTGTTATATAGGCCTGAGATGGGTGCAGCCCGAGGGAAAGTGGACGGGGTTAGAAAAGGAAGATCGAGGGCACCCCATGATGGTGAGCGGGCCCGAAAAAAATACGTGGCTGGGAGTCGGAGCCATTCCCTGTACACCTTGGGGTGCGACAGGGATGTCCTCTGGCTCCCACATTATTTAACATATATTTCGACCACGTAGTTCGTGAAGCCTTCAATAGCTGTACCGGAGGAATTTCCATCTGGTACAGATACAATGGGAGGCTGATCGATGATCATCTGCGGTCAAGGGATGGCTCCCTATTGCTCAACCATGTTATGTATGCCGATGATCTGGTAATTGCTGCTCACTCGGAGGAGGAGTTGGAGGCGCTGCTGCTGCAGCTGGAGCTTGCCACTAAGAGGTGGGGCCTTACCATCAGACCCACCAAAACTAAGCACCTGCCCAAGGTATTTTGTACCATCGGACAATCCACCCACACAACTCCCAATGGATAATAGGGCAGGTGTGGAGAGAGTGGACAGTTTCCCATACCTGGGCAGTGTGCTCATGACCGGCTCCGGTTTAACAGCAGAGGTCTCACTCCGAATCAGTCGAGCGACATTATCTTTTCATCGGTTGCGTAACGCTGTGTAGAAGCTACCTGGTCTGTCGCTCCGCACGAAGCTTCAGGACTTCTTGGCCACAGTCATTCCCTCCCTTCTCTATGCTTGTGAAACATGGACCCCCCTAATGGAACATCTTCGCTGGTTAGAAACATTTAGGCTGGCCTGCCTACGATCCATCCTGGGTTTAACCAGGCTGGATTGTTTGAGCTCACAAATTCTTGAAAGATCTGGACAAAGTCCCATCGGTAAGCTCCTCCGGCAGGCAAGGCTGCGTTGGCTGGGTCATGTAGCCCGCATGCCCAGTCACCGCATGCCTAAACAGCTTTTGTTTGTCCAGATCGAGGGGGCTAAACGGGCGCGGCACGGGGTAGAGAAGATATGGATTGATGTGTTGAGCTGAGTGGACTTGCCGATGAGTGCTACCAGCGGTGTCAAGATCGGCCTCTTGGAGGAGGCTCGTGAATGACGCTACTGGGCAGTTAGAGGCAGTCGCCCTCCAAAAACAAAGGAGGGAGGAGTGATGCTCACAACGAGCGTAGCACCGGGTGGCTAAAGCACAGCAAGTTGGCACAGTAGGGGGCACAGGTGGTGCATCAGCCAGTCATCTCACCCAGTCGACCACTTAACGTGGCCTCAACGTGCATATAGCCTGGCGCAAGCGTCGTGGTGACGTCACCGCCACTTAGTGGCGAATGGTGGTTGTGTGCAAGTCGATGTATCTGTAAGTCGATGTGTGTGTGTGTGTAAGTCCATGTGTGTGTGTATGTACAAGTCAATGTGTGTGTGCGTAAGTCGATGTGTGTGTGTGCGTAAGTCGATGTGTGTGTGCGTAAGTCGATGTGTGTGTGCGTAAGTCGATGTGTGTGTGCGTAAGTCGATGTGTGTGTGCTTAAGTCGATGTGTATGTGCGAGTCAATGTGTGTGTGTAAGTCCATGTGTGTGTGTGAGCCTAAGTCCATTTCTTTGTGTGTGTGTAAGTCCATGTGTGTGTGTAAGTCCATGTGTGTGTGTGTGCGCAAGTCGATGTGTGTGTGTGTAAGGCCATGTGTGTAAGTCGATGTGTGTGTGTGTAAGGTCATGTGTGTAAGTCGATGTGTGTGTGTGTAAGGCCATGTGTGTGTGTAAGTCAATGTGTGTAAGTCAATATGTGTGTGTGTAAGTCGGTGTGTGTGTGTCCGAGTCGATGTGTGTGTCCGAGTCAATGTGTGTGTCAGTGGTGTAGCAGCAAGCGCGCTGCACCACGAACCCGGAGACCCGAGTTCGATTCCCACTCACGGCAAAACACCGGTGACGATTATATGAACCGGTCCTGAGCCTCCCCTACGTCTAATCAGCTTCAAATGAGAACCTGCTGCGATGTGTGGTAAACATCGCCAGTGGGGACTAACAAAACATATTTGTTACACTATATTGTATTCTCCTAAACATGTGAAATTTATACACAAATATTGTTTACATACATTACACTTCTGTATTTGTGTATGTATATGTTATGTTTTTAAGAGGAGTTTTGAAATATCTTTCTCGCCCGGGCAACGCCGGGTACTTCCCGCTAGTGTTTAATAAAAATTACAATAATTAACAATAACTAAATAATACATTATGACCGAAAATGTTTTAAATGACCTTCGATGATGATTTGACAATTGAGGTGGTGTGATGGTGAGGAATTCAGGATGACTCCTCAGGAGATGCAGGTGTTTGATAACAACTCGCAGTTATTATCATTTTAGCACTCTGGGGAGAACTAGCCCGCAACACTTTCCCTGATTTAATTCAAGGTTATTTTTAATGGACGTCAGTCAACTCGTTAATACCAAAATGTACAAATGAGTCGACTTATTGTGAGCACGTATGAAATAAAAATGCACAATAGGAAGTTCAGAGCAGGATTACTGTGAGACCGAGGACTAAGCCGGCAGGGCGGGGGGGTGGGTGCCTAATCTTCGAAGTTTCAAATGTTAAATTCTGCACGCACCTCCCCGGTGTTGGTGGTCTGGCACGTACACTCGTGAATACTGGAATCCGGTGGTTCGCGAAAAGGGAATTAGTATACATTTAGTAACTCGTGGAACTCGCGAATCCAGAACTCACGAATATTACAATGTGCCCTCGATATTGTGGAATTAATAAAAAAAAGTTCTGACGAATAAAAACGTACTTAATCCCTGTATTTAAACACGACACTCAGTGGGTGGGTTAAAGCAGAGATAACGACAGTAAACATCTTGTTCAGAAAAAGTATTAAAAACATAACAAGACCAGTCAATATATGCATAACTTAGATAACTTTGCTTGCCTGTATGTCTTCTTTGAGCAAGGTCTTTGCGAGGATCTTTAGGGAAGTAATGCGGTGAGTGGGGAGGCCTGCCATGCTTCTCAGCAGCTTCGAGCGTGATGTGTCTCGCTGCAGAGACTCAGGTACTGTCACACCGATCACCTTGAAATCATTATGCAGGGCGTGACCCACCACCACCTTGTCTTTGAGGATCTGGACAATCTGCTCAACACATACATATCCATGAAAAATTTAATAAAGCCAGTGCTCGAATTACGAACACCTGAATTACAAACATCCGTACAAAAGAACCAGCTTCCATGGGATTTTATTTCTTAACATCGACTTGCAAACTCGCAATTGTGAACCGAACCACTTAACTATTTCGTTCAGCGGAGCAACTCTCTGCGAGATGTAATGCTTCACACCATCCAGCTGAGAGTGAAAGTGAGTGTGCGGGTGCCCCCCGTGTGTGTGTGGGGAGCAGTAGTGCAATAGCTCGCTGGGCTACAAACCTGGTGACCCGAGTGTATGTCCCGCTCACAACCAACACCAGTGATGTTTATCTGAATGGGTCCTGGGCGTTCCCTAGGTTTACTCAGCCTCAAATGAGTACCTGGTGGAGTGTGTAAACATTGCTACATTCAGATGTAATAAAATACATTTTTTTTTCAAATTTTATTGTTGTGGTTTTCACACCTGATGATGATTGCTTGTGTTGCAGTCGAAACGTCGTGAGAATTTAATTGTTTTATATTTTTATAATTTTATTGTTTCCCTTCTACGTGACTTTACCGAGAGAACCAAGAATATAAACTTGGGAAGCAACAACGCTTTCGACAACCTTATTTAACCGTCAAAAGGTGCGAGTGACTTAACTCCACCCTTGACGTTATGCGCGCGGGCAAGTCTTCTACACGGATACATTTCCAGAAGAGAATGCTGAATAAACAATCTTCATAAATCTTGACTTAAAGCTTTCGTGACTGCAGGAAGTCATGCTCTTTTTGGTCTTTCGGTAAAGTAGATAGAGAAATAATAAAATAATAATAAATCACGACGTTTAAATCGCAACATAAGCTATCGCTTTATTTCTTCCTGCCTCAGCAGTCTTCCTGCCTCAGCAGTCCGCCTGCTGTATTGTTTCACCTGAAGACGATTGCTTGTGTTGCGATCGAAACGCCGTGATTTTATTATTATTTTATTATTTTTCTATATACGTGACTTTAACGAAAGACCCAAAGAGTAAAATCTTCATAAAGGTCTAATTGTGCATTGCCTTCGTGCTGTTTGCCTTGTCGTCCTCTGGTCTGACACTGGTGAGACTAGGCCCTAAAGAAGGTCGTCTCTGGTGTAGGCCAATCAGTTTAAATAACAATGCATATATTTATCAGAGCATGTTGTTTGCATGTTCAACACAAGTCCATGTGGTTAATGCAGATTTGGTTCCATGCCATAGGTTTCTATTTGGTGTTTGAACGTCTTAACACCTATTTTATTGCCAGAAAGGGTAAAACCTATTCATATTTTCAAAAATTACCCTTACACTATTTGTGAAGCCATCATCATCCACCTCATTTTAATCATAATAAATGTATCCTTTTATCATCATCCACCACAAATATATTTATTATCATTGTCATCATAAACAAGTGCAAGAAAGCATGTATTTTGAGTGCGAGATTGAACATGCATATCAATGCAGAAGGTACATTTGAGCATCGGATTTTATGTGTCTGAGCATGAGAGCACGTTTGTAAGTGCAGAAGAGTGAAATTTTGAGCACATAATAAAAGCAAAACACATTTCAACGTAGAATTGTGCACATTTTGACACATAAGAGTGCACCTTTAACAAAAGAAATCAGCATAATTGATCACCACATGTATCTCACGCGCAAATCTCTGAAATATTGTGTTCCCCTGAGTCATTGATAAGCTATTTTCCTATGTATTCGTCGAGTTAAACTTTACTTTACTTTTCCATTACGTTTATATCCACATATCATATTATCTGTTTCAAACAGGCGATATATTACACTTTCTGTTATCCGCACACCATAAATTATTTGGAGCTATATCAGGTAACGGTTTATAAAGTAGACAATTCAGGGTAAAACAAGCATTTAGGCTGGCGAGCCTTCATGGCAAAGTACATGTGGTGGCCATTAACCAAAAACGGAAGGCAATCTCCATTTTATTTTAAAAAGTTACTCAACCCACGAGAACTCGAATTATTCATGGTGTGATGGCTTATAGAGACATTGTTTTAATTATTAAAATGTTAGCTTGGTGTTGCACAGCAGCATATTTTTGCTTTGGCTGAAACGTTTGGCCAACTCCTCATCTATGGCACACATCCAATTTGCAAATCTAACTTTTCACATTTTATAATCTGAACATGAATTGATTACTTGTGGGGAAACGTTAATTAATAAACATATTCCTTAAAGTTTTATAACACGTACAAATTATTATGGCAGTGACTAACATAAATCCCAATTGTTGTATATGGGTAATAAAGCTCAAACTTTGCAAAAAATATAGCAATCTACGTTTACTACTTGAAAATGTGCTTTAAAAAAGCATAACTAGGTTAAAGTCACTGATGGCTACATGACTGAGAACGTGTGAAGATGGCTCGACAATAACCAAGGACGTCAAAATGCACATCGACATTGCTGAACACCTCCCCACTGGATCTGATTGAATTGCTTTTGAATTGGAGTCGGCCAGTCAAAAGTCAAAGTGCAGATGTGGGGCTACTCTAATGACATGGACACCTGTGACTGCGGTGAAACACAGACCGCCGAGCATCTGTTGGTCTGTCGGCTCCTGGAGGAGCCATGGAGGACCTCGCCATGGAAACAGCCCGGGCCAAATAATTTTCCCATTACGGAATCAATCATGATTGTGGTGGTTGGACATTAAAAGAACTTGAAAATCTAAAGTTATTCAATTTGGACCACCAAATATTTATAGGTTCATTAATTTTACTCATTGGAGGGTGTTTGCTTAAAGTTTCAATTGTTTTCTGCCTCATACTAAATACTTTGAAAAATGTCCCATATTTAATCATTGCACCACATAATTCACTCAAGCAGAGTATGACGTTAACAGCAATAGAAAGAGGGTGAAGCCTGCTACCGGTGACAAGCAAAGCATAAAAATACTTTAACCAAATTTGCGAGTGTACGATGTGCTGCTTTCAGTCACTGGTAGTAGGTGCAGTTCCTTACCTCCTTCTTGGCCCGATGGAATGGGATGGCTTTGGACAGATCTTTAGCAGTTATGCCACTCCATCGCGTGCGGTAGTCAGTGATAGGGTTCCTTGGTTGAACATAGCGATCGTACACAACGTCACCATAATAGGTGACAATGCTGCATCGGGCCAGCTCACTGCAAACACCAGCAGGCCCTGTGCCCACCATTTCACAGTCGAGGCCGAAATACCTGGAAGACCACCCATCACATAAGACAGTAGCGTATTATACAATCTTGATTTGAAGCTTTTGTGACTGCACGTAGGTAGAAGTAAAATATTTCTACCTACGTGACTTTACCAAAAGAACCAAAGAGTATTATACAATAATAATTTACTGCCATTTACCTACTGTTGGATGAAGGCTTACCCATGCTGCATAATTCTTCAACATTTATTTAATGTATATAGCTCATACTAAACAATGATAAACACTGTATAAACTACAGGTGCCACAAACAATAGAAATCTGGAGGGGGATTCTGGTATAAAGTAAAATGTCAGGTTTTTTTATGTAACTATAATTTTTACTTAAAACTTTCGTGACTGCAGGAATTCATATTCTATGGTTCTTTCGGTAAAGTCACGTAGATAGAAACAATAATGACAATAAAAACATAAAAATGAAAATAAAGTGAATACAAATAATTGAACAGACCAAACGGTTTTCCATAAAACCTTCTGCTGCTAGACCACCCAGACTATATGGCTTGCTAAAAATCCATAAAGGTACACCCCTTCTCATCCCATCGTCTCCACCAATGGTTCACCCACCTACAAACCGGCACGATATCTGTCTGAGACCTTGCAGCCATTTCCTGGTAAGACCACCGCTTCCGTTCTTAACTCAACTCACCTGGTATCGGCAATTAAAAACATCTCACTGTCCCCAGGTGATTTGCTCGTTTGTTTCGATGTAGTTTCTTTGTTCACCAAAGTTCCTGTGCCCGATACCATTGCAATAATTGAAGATTTGGTTCAACAAGGGAATGCTCATGTACCAGCCCTGGTGAGACACGGCATCACCAATATATACTTCACTTGGAATGGAACATTCTACAAACAAATTGAAGGCACCCCAAAGGGTTCTCCCTTATCTCCGGTTGTGGCCAGCATTTTCATGGAAAAATTGGAGACGGACGCCATCCAGGCATCCACTTTATGCCCAGAGGAATTCCCTCATAAAAACGCTACACCATAGAGCTCAATGTATCTCCGACCATGAACACCTGACCAGTGAACTTAAAACACGTACACCAGGCTCTCAAGGCGAATGGATATTCTGACTACACAATCTACAAAGCCATCACCCCTACTGCCGCTGTCGGGAGCCTTCTCCTACATTAACATTAGCTGCCCCGCCCATCTCTAAACCTTTATAAACAGCTCTTCGATTGGTGTAGACCTACTGCCGGCGTCGGACACCTTTCACTGAATAGTGTAACCTTTCACGTTATAGAGAAAACTGATATTTGAATTATTTTGCAAATGTATTTTGGCAAAATAAGTGCATGCCGAAATTGTTTTTAAAGATTCATTGGTGACTGGGCTGAAACCACTAAATAACTTCACTTAAGAGTCTGTTTCAATTCCAAGTGGCAAAACCTGAATATGAACCCATGATGGTGTCTCAATTTTTATAAATAAAAACAAAGCAGTAATTAAAATGTGATCGAAATATTTAAACCAAAATTGAATTCGGATTTTATGGCAGAAACCTGTAATTACATTGAGGTTTGATTTTCACATTTTGGAACGAACGCTCCCATTTTATTTAAAGTTTGTACCCAAGTAGCGGTGCAAAACAGACAGAGAACCAACTCACCTGCTTGGATTCTTGTTGGCAAAAGTCTGTGGCACATCTTCCGTAACGGTGACTTGTTTCTCTGGCCTTGCAGCTCCATTGGAAAACTCGTCTAACATGTTGTTATGGACAGAGGCGTCAAAGGCATGACCTTTCGTTTTCTCGTTTTTCCTCTGCAATTTCACACCACTGTGTTTAATCGTTCCATTGAGTGTATCTTTTATTTCTTTGTGGCTTTTCTTCAAATACGATTTCGTCTGGGACTCTGGCTTGAATTTTACATTTTGCTTGTCTAGATGTTGAATTGTATCCAATTGTTGGATCTCTAACTTCTGGTGGCGCAAGTTATCTCTCCTCTCACGGGCTTTATTCCCCTTCATAAAGCGAATGTCCCTTGCATGCTGTCTACTCCGTGATTTGCCGTTCTCAGGAACAACAGACACGTCCAAATTAAGCATAAGATCACACATGGCTCGTCGTAGAGTATTTTAGTATTGTGAATAAATGTACTGCACAAGAATCTATTTAATTTCAGTTTCCACGTGCCATGGTTACTACAAAGGAGTCTCAGGATCTGCACGTCTCCAAATGTTGGTGAAATGTCAAAACAAATTCAAGTGTGTCCAGTTACAATTGTCTTTTGAGAAAAGTGTACTGTTGAACATAAGGGATAAATGGTAGCGTTCAACGATCTGAAACAAAAAGAACACACGAAGCAAATGAGTTACGTACTGTATAATAGGACATTGCACTGTGAAAAGCCATTGCCTGAAACGTCGCCTATTACATATTTTCCACGTAAGACAGTGTTATTGACGAATGCGTAGTTATTTGTTGATTGTGCACCACTGCCAAGGACATTTGGGAATGCTCTTTATTTCCAGAATGTTGAATCGAGAACGGAACAATGATTGGGGATTTGTTGAAGCTAAAAAGGACGCACGATCTAAAAATCGTCTTCCACACAATACCAAAGACACGGCCTTTAAAATGCACGCATTCTTGCCAGTAACTTTAAATGTTTTCTGCTTGACACAGCTTGATAAATTGTATCAAGCTGATAAATTGTATCAAGCTGCATTGTTTTACTACCCAGTTATCCCTTAAAACGATACACTTGTGCTCAACGGGCTATATCCCTGGCTTTACATAAAAACATAAGAATCCAGCCTTGTAACAACACAGCACATTCATACACGTGGCGCGAGTGAGACACGAGTTTCTACTCCAGACCACGGCGAACATTTGTGGCGAGTGGTGTCAGAGCCGGTGAAGGGCGTCCCCCTTTCATCCAAACACCGCACTGACCAAAATCGGTGAAGTATGACCAAACAAACCCCCGGGGAACCGACACGGCAACGCGACGCCTTCGCCCAGCAGTGGATTTAAGCGAGTGCTGCGCACGAAACGCAAAACTTCGCACCCTTAGCCCCATGACGGAACCACGGCGGACTCGTTTGAGAATTAAAGCCTTCACCGCGTTGAAGTAAACCGGCGGCGGTAATACAGCGGACCACAACGAAGATTGCTGTGAACAATAAAACCCGCTTAGTTGTGTAATTATTGTAAACATGCACGGCGCACCAGTTACCCCGCACTGTAGCACTTGCCCTGTACAGTGGCTTAGGCCCGAGGCTTTGATCCCGCCACGCGCGAACCTCTCCATAAAACAATATTTGTTGAAAAAAAACACACACACTTGGACCAAAAACTCACGGTAAAGCTTCCGCTGACGCGCACACTGTTGTCTCATGAATTACCGTAAGAGGAAAACAAAAATCAGCACGGTTACGACTTTGCTTCGGCTGATTTACTCACTCTCGGCAAACGGCTCACAACCTGAAACACGTGGCACTCGACTGTACATTTCATAGACAGGATAGGCAGGACGCGTGGTTACATTTCACAGACCGGATGGGAACGACACGCGGTTTTATTTCATAGACTGAATAGGTAACCACGTGGGCTTCAGACGTGCGCGAGCAGGGTTTGGACGTGAGAGCAGGGAATCCGATTCACGAACAGGGATCCGACTCACAAACATGGATCCAATTCACGAACAGGGAATCCGATTCACGAACAGGAATCCGATTCACGAACAGAAATCCGATTCACGAACAGGAATCCGACTCACGAACAGGGATCCGATTCACGAACAGGGATCCGATTCACGAACAGGGATCCGACTCACGAACAGGGATCCGACTCACGACTCATGAACAGGGATCCGATTCACGAACAGGCATCCGACTCACGAACAGGGATCCGATTCACGACTCACGAACAGGCATCCGATTCACGAACAGGGATCCGACTCACGAACAGGGATCGGATTCACGAACAGGGATCCGATTCACGAACAGGGATCCGACTCACGAACAGGGATCCGACTCACGAACAGGGATCCGACGCTGCCAATGCAGCAGCAACGCCAATGCAGCAGCAATGCCAAACGCTGGGGATGCGGGGGGAAATGAACTCGGAAAAATAGACTAGTACCCGGCAGATATGATGGAACAACCATAAACAGTTAAGGTTTTACCTGGTTAACCACCTGGTGACGATTGTCATCACCTGATGACGATTGCTTGTGTTGCGATAGTAACGCCGTGATATTTTTATTCTTATTTTTTCTATCTACGTGGCTTTACCGAAAGACCCAAAGAATATAAACTTCAATATATTATACGACTCTGTCTTGTTAGCAAAGACAAAACGGTCCAAAGCGTGGGAGCGGCACTGACAAAGCCCGATCACGCCAGGAAATGAACTTTGACCTCGGACTACTAAAAGTCGTCGATCTGAATGATCTCATGTTGTCCGCGTGCACGAACTTGCGAATTTATGTCTGTGGCATCTTTCTCGTGTATAGGTTGAATAGCATTTGAGCGAGTGCATATCCCTAGGTAATCCTGTTATTCAGGGTGCTAGGTTTAATACATCATTCACCCAGATCGACACGAATCCTTCAGTTGCAGATGCAAGAAGGATTCTGGCCAGCTTCAGCATCAGACCTAAGAAAGAAAGGACTTTACACTTTTCTTTGATATTTGTTGTAAGGACCAGGACCCAGCACTTGATCACTGCAGATTCAAATTACTCCAAAGGTAGTGGTGTGGTTTACTCTCTGGATCATATCATAATTCAGAAAAATCTATATATAAAAGGGAAATTCGTGAATGTGTGTGTCTGTTCGAAATGTTTAGCATACTTCCCAACATGCAGCAAACTTGAAATTTGGCACGTGGGTAGTTTCCAGACTGTACACAAAGTATCAAAATAGACTTTTGTATTGGGGGGGGGGCGCAATAATGGATATATTTTGCACGGCAAGTAAGCGGTGACGTCACACCTGTGATGTCACCCGCATGCGGCAGCGTTACGCAGTGTGCCTTGCTGACGTCACGCATCCCCCCCTCCCCAAACCCTCCGCGTAGGCCGTGTATCCCGCACAAATGCGCGGCATAGCCGTCTCGATTTTCTAAGTCAACGCGACTATTTTCAGCTCGCTCTTAAATATAAAGCAGAAAATTAATCTGTCTGTGTGAGGCAGCAAAAACTCTCGAACGCTGACCTCTGACATCATGAAATTTGCACAGCTTCTGCTGTCTGGAATTTCTAAGGGAGCGCGACAATTTTCAGCTCTCTTTGTTATTTTTTTTCCGGTAAAGTCACGTGGGTAAAATAAAAATAAAAGAAAACAATTAAATCACGATGTTTCGGAGGCAACGCAAGCTTCCGTCTTTCAGGTCGCTGCATCAAGTGTGATGCAGCGATCTTGCTGTGGCTGTGTTGCCTCCGAAACGTCGTGATTTAATTGTTTTCTTTTATTTTTATTTTACCTACGTGACTTTACCGAAAAAAAACAAAGAGTATTAATCCTTGCAGTCACGAAAGATTCAAATCTCGAATTTTCAGCTCGCCACGTCATTCCCTTCCCGAGTTGCCTAAATCGACCTTACGGAAAAGTGGGTTAAGGTTGAATTTCCTTCAGTGAAAAACATGCGATTTAGTTACATTGATTTGTTTCGGTTTTTTTCTTTCTTGCAAGCATACAATTTTTTTCAGGGTTTTTCAGTGAAATATAAGGGAATATTAAATGTATCAAAGACAAGAATCCAAGTCCCGGGCGAAGCCGGGAAGTAAAGCGAGTTAGGTATACAATCCATGCACATGGATTATTTTTTTCCGGATAGTTGTTTTCTTTGGTAGATAGTTCACATTGAACACATTTTTTTTTAAATCAAGGGTGCAATTCAATAAAGTATAATATTAGAATCCAATAATTTAACATGACATTGAAACTCCACTCATCTATGAATATTAAACGTCATTATTCCTACGCAGTCTGTGGAAACTCTTGAAATCTGCGAGCGGGGCAACTCCCAAAATCTACTATTTTCCACGGGCATCTTTGAAGCACGTGTCTTTCTGTCTCTTGTGTGTGTCTTTGTGTATTTGGTTTTTATCCCTCTCTCTGTGTTTATTGGTCTCTGTCTGCATCTCTGTGTCTCTCTCTGGGTCTTTGTGTCTCCGTCTGTGTTTCTAAGTTTCTGTTTGTTTGTCTTTCTCTAGCTCCATATGGCAGCCCTTTGAAATATGTAAATATATACAGCAGACCAATCAGTCCATTAGAATTGAATAAGTTAATACAGTATTAAACATTTATGAACAGTATGGAAATCTGCTCATTTTAAATTTGCAAGAGTTGGTAATTGTAGTAATTTCTTATTGTAGTAAAGTTATTGTAGTAAAGCTTCATGTGGCATTTCACTTTATGTTTATTTATTTTTAGACCTTTTCATTCACCATGGGAAAGATACCAGCACTGTTATTATAGCACAGTAAACTAGCCGCTATAACTAATCTTTTCTCAAGCCATACATAGTTTTTCTTCTGCAAGAAAAATGATGGTATACAAATACATTACTTTAACTTTGGTATGATTGTTTTGGTAGATTTAGTGTGCACTCTAAGATGGAGTAAATGTAGAATTTGTGCTTGAAAAAATAACAGTGATTTGGTCCTTTTGTCCAATTCACAATGAATCTAAAAGCTTCACCTGTGGTTGGATTTAAAAGTACATCATGGCATTGCTGTGAGACAAAAAGATACGTCTTTCGAAAACCACTCTGGAATGTTCTCAAGCAGTTGTTTCGACAATTCCATAAAAAAATTTCCACCTCCCTGAACGGTGTTTTCATAACCATGCATTAAAACACATTTTAGCTTTCAATCCCAAATCCATCCGAGATACATCTAAAGAAAAATAATTCCTCTACCACCACACACCCTATTTTCACCTTTTAAATTGTGCCTAAAATAATAGTTTGACTTATGACAATTACTCACAAACACATGTTTCAAACACTCACCATCACTCACTAGCAGTGCTGTTAGGAGTAAGGATTAGGAACTGTAAAAAATGCATTCAGATGCAATGTTAGGCTGTTAAAAACCTCCTAACATCTTTCATTTTCAGAATACAACTTGTAATCCGCGGTGCACCGCAGAGGTTAGTCCGATAATATGTGAAAATGCTATTGCCCCGACGTGATGTACCACGGATTATGGGAGGAAAGAGTCCACAAATCCATTAATCCAAGAAAATATTCGCTTTTACAGAGAAAACATGGATAGGATGTTGCAAGACTTTTTGCATATGTTAGACTTGATATAGAAGTAAAAATATATATTCATTAAATTACGTCAGCGCATACTATTGCTGACGCAAAACAAAACATAACAATGCAAATTCAAAAAATCGTACGTCCGCGTTTCCTTGCAACTTCGCTCCTGCAGTTCCAAGTTAGTCCTGTCCACTTATACAGACTACGGTTTGCGGTTGGTGATGCGTTTTTTTTTTATCTCCCGCAGTGTGCCATGGATTTCAAGAGGAATGAGCCACGCAAAATTAAGAGGTCAGCATGGCTCGCAAATGAATCTGCAGACATCGCCGACACGGTGTGCCACAAATTATGAAAGGAATAGGCCGCTGGCGGAAGAGATACAGACATCTGAGATGTTTTGTGGATTTCTGCATCAACTCTGTGGTGCCATGACCGTAGAGCCACTCCGCAAGTGCCGAGACTCCCCCCCTACCCCCGCCCTGAACGCACACATGCCACGGACACACACACGTAGTGTCCCGGTGGGGGATCGCCTGGCACCACAGGTTTTCATCCGAAGGGCCCCTAGGTGGGAAGTCACCGGGCCAGCCACAAGGAGTCACTTACAGCACCGGGGAGGGGCCAGGGTGAAATATTACTGGTAGGAACGAAGTTGTAAACTGAGTGTACCAGCCTGCAATAGATTAATGTGTCCGTCCGTCCGTCCGTCCCCTTTCAATACTTTAACGAAGTGAAATCTCGTGCTGTTGGGTGTAATAAAATTGCGCAAAATTCCAATGTTCCTACCAGCCCACCCTGCAGGGACCTGTTAAGTGAGCAGCATAGACGATGAGGTCAGGCGGAATTCCTAGTGCACACTCGCAGGTGTGTATTCGCCAGCCGGGTGGCCTCCCAGATTAAACAGGCTGAGTCAGGGGTAAGGAATGCAGGCACAGAGGCAATGGGCCAGAAAATAGCATAACGTAATGCTCTAGGTAACGGCAAATACACGTTTGAAAATCAAAAGGTAGGTGCACAATTGGCTGCGCAGGATGATGTAACGTAACCCTGGATTTTCGAAATCACAGGGTATAAAAAGGAGAGCCGAAAACTGTTAAAGGACTTCTGATCTCTAGCCGCTTGGTGACCCAGACCGACTCCGTGCTAGCCTGCCTCGTCGAGCCACTCGCTGAGTCCGTGAGACGCCAGTGAGTGCTGCCACGAGACAGCGATAGGCAAGGTTCTCTCCCATTCCCGTCCCTCCGCCTCTCTCCGCGTCCGTG